TTGATGGTGTCCAGTTTGCAAATTAATTCCAGTTCTGCAGTTTCATGTTGGAGTCTGTTTTTGAAGTTTTTTTGTTGAAGAATTGCCACTTTTAGGTCTGTTATTGAGTGACCAGGGGGATTGAAGTGTTCTCCGACTGGTTTATGAATGTTATAATTCCTGATGTCAGATTTGTGTCCATTTATTCTTTTGCACAGAGACTGTCTGGTTTGGCCAATGTACATGGCACATGATGGCATATATCACATTGGTAGATGTGCAGGTGGTTGAGCCCCTGATGGTGTGGCTGATGTGGTTAGGGCCTATGTTGGTGTCCCTTGAATAAATATGCTGACAGAGTTGGCACTGGGGTTTGTTGCAGGGTTTGGTTCCTGGGTTGGTGTTTTTGTTGTGTGGTGTATAGTTGCTGGTGAGTATTTGCTTCAGGTTGGGGGGGCTGTCTGTAAGCAAGGACACAGGAGTGATGCCTAACTTGTCTGTATTGGTGTATAAAGATGTATCTCAGAGGGAGCGTCTTTATCTGGCCTAGGGGATAGTGGAAAGTCCCACCACTAAGTGAGCTGGTCCATTGTCACAGGCATACATGTGCTATCATAACTGTAGACATTGATCCAGGGAGCTAGGACCATGCTGTGATGTTGCACTCCATAATGCTTTATAGAAATATGCTTATGAGTGTAAATATGACATAACTGGAATATGTTTTATGCTAGATGTGCCATGTAACATATCTTTGAAAAGGTTATGATCTACTGAATATATTCATCCTGTTTGTATGCATGGATCATTTTTACACCTGAAGTTATGAGCATTGGCTCTGTGCATGTATTTAAAGTGTTTGCTGTAGGAAGCACATAAGGCAGATTTGGTCAACACAGTGTGAAGGGGGTAGTGAAATAATTGGGAGTACTTAACTAACAATAGACTTTGAGAGACGCCAATCCACATCTGAGCTTTCCTGGGAACATTCAAACTAACATGTAAACAATGGCGTTGGCCTGCAAAAAGCTGAATCATTCATAGACATGTTTCAGAGTAACAGCCGTGTTAGTCTGTATTCGCAAAAAGAAAAGGAGTACTTGTGGCACCTGAGAGACTAACCAATTTATTTGAGCATGAGCTTTCGTGAGCTACAGCTCCCTTCATCGGAAGTGTAGCTCACTGTAGCTCATGAAAGCTCATGCTCAAATAAATTGGTTAGTCTCTAAGGTGCCACAAGTATTCATAGACATGTGACTTGCCCAGGTGGCTAGAGACCCCATCTTGTGGCTGTGATGTGCAACAAGAGAAACACTATATAAGGCCCTGGAAGCCCCTCCATTTTGTCTTCAGTTGGCTCAAGAGATTGCCTCTCCACCCCAAAGAGATACCTGAAAGAAACTGGAACAAAGGACAGTAACTACGGGGGTGTGAATGTTTGCTGGACCCAGACTAGGAAGGAGTCTAGTCTGTCAAAGAAGCTTATTGGAACATCTCTGAGGGTGAGATTTACCTGCATTTAGTTTCCTACTGTATTAGGCTTAGACTTGCGTGTTTTATTTTATTTTGCTTGGTAACTTACTTTGTTCTGTCTGTTATTGCTTGGAACCACTTAAATCCTACTTTTTATATTTAATAAAATCACTTTTTACTTATTAATTAACCCAGAGCAAGTAATTAATTCCTGGGGGAGCAAGCAGCTGTGCATATTTCTCTATCAGTGTTATAGAGGGCGAACAATTCATGAGTTTATCCTGTATAAGTTTTATACAGAGTAAAATGGATTTATTTGGGGCTTGGATCCCATTGGGAACTGGGTATCTGGGTGCTGGAGACAGGAGCACTTCTTAAGCTGTTTTCAGTTAAACCTGCAGCTTTTGCGGGATGTAGTTCAGACCTGGGTCTGGGTTTGTAGCAGGCTACAACAAGGCAGGATACTGAGGTCTCAAGTTGCCAGGGAAAATGGGCTTCGAAGTAGTCTCAGCACATCAGGTAGCAGTCCCAAGGGGGTTTCTGTGACCCAACATGCTTTGCTGACAATAAACCTGACCAAGTGCCTTCGTATCTTGACGGATCTTGTGGTCATTGGGCAGTCCACTTGAGGTCAGCTGTCTGCTCAGAGCTGGGATGGCAAACGGGGAGAACACTCGCACCCAGCCAAACATCCAACGATACTGACAACATCTGACGACAGGGGCTTGGGGTGTTTGTCCCTCCTTTTTGTAGTGTCAGTCCCCAACTTAGAATCATAGAATATCAGGGTTGGAAGGGACCTCGGGAGGTCCAACCCTCTGCTCAAAGCAGAACCAATCCCCAACTAAATCATCCCAGCCAGAGCTTTGCCAAGCTGACCTTAAAAACCTCTAAGGAAGGAGATTCCACCACCTCCCTAGGTAACCCATTCCAATGCTTCACCACCCTCCTAGTGAAATAGTTTTTCCTAATATCCAACCTAAACCTCCCCCACTGCAACTTGAGACCATTACTCCTTGTTCTGTCATCTGCTACCACTGAGAACAGTCTAGATCCATCCTCTTTGGAACCCCCTTTCAGGTAGTTGAAAGCAGCTATCAAATCCCCCCTCACTCTTCTCTTCCGCAGACTAAACAATCCCAGTTCCCTCAGCCTCTCCTCATAAGTCATGTGCTTCAGCCGCCTAATCATTTTTGTTGCGCTCCGCTGGACTCTTTCCAATTTTTCCACATCCTTCTTGTAGTGTGGGGCCCAAAACTGGACACAGTACTCCAGATGGGGCCTCACCAATGCCGAATAGCGGGGAATGATCACATCCCTCGATCTGCTGGCAATGCTCCTACTTATACACCCCAAAATGCCATTGGCCTTCTTGGCAACAAGGGCACACTGTTGACTCATATCCAGCTTCTCGTCCACTGTAACCCCTAGGTCCTTTTCTGCAGAACTGCTCCCTAGCCACTTGGTCCCTATTCTGTAGCAGCACATGGGATTCTTCCGTCCTAAGTGCAGGACTCTGCACTTATCCTTGTTGAACCTCATCAGATTTCTTTTGGCCCACTCCTCTAATTTGTCTAGGTCCCTCTGTATCTTATCCCTGCCCTCCAGCGTATCTACGTCTCCTCCCAGTTTAGTGTCATCTGCAAACTTGCTGAGGGTGCAGTCCACGCCGTCCCTCAGATCATTAATGAAGATATTGAACAAAAACGGCCCAAGGACCGACCCTTGGGGCACTCCACTTGATACCGCCTGCCAACTAGACATGGAGCCATTGATCACTACCCGTTGAGCCCCATGATCTCGCCAGATTTCTATCCACCTTATAGTCCATTCATCCAGCCTATACTTCTTTATCTTGCTGGCAAGAATACTGTGGGAGACCGTATCAAAAGCTTTGCTAAAGTCAAGGAACAACATATCCACCGCTTTCCCCTCATCCACAGAGCCAGTTATCTCGTCATAGAAGGCCATTAGATTAGTCAGGCATGACTTGCCCTTGGTGAATCCATGCTGACTGTTCCTGATCACTTTCCTCTCCTCTAAGTGCTTCAGAATTGATTTCCTGAGGACCTGCTCCATGATTTTTCCAGGGACTGAGATGAGGCTGACTGGCCTGTAATTCCCCAGATCCTCCTTCTTCTCTTTTTTAAAGATTGGCACTACATTAGCCTTTTTCCAGTCATCCGGGACCTCCCCCGATCGCCATGAGTTTTCAAAGATAATGGCCAATGGCTCTGCAATCACATCCGCCAACTCCTTTAGCACCCTCGGATGCAGTGCAATGGACTTGTGCTTGTCCAGCCTTTCTAAATAGTCCTGAACCACTTCGTTCTCCACAGAGGGCTGGAAACACTTGGAAAACATTTGCAGCTGAGATTCAGGAGAGAGAGTCTGTAGGGAAGGATGCTCCCTGCTGCTTTTTCCTCCCCGGTTGGAGTTTCTTTTGTTTCCCTTCCTGCTTGATGACTCTGTTTGTTGCTTAAATGCAAATTAAGCAGAGCACCCATTCCTTTGTTGAGACAGGCCTGTTTGCCAACCTCAGGTTCGAGCATGTGTTAACACCATAAAGAGGAACCTTATCACTTCATGTACAATGTTGCCACACACATATTTTATCAGGGCAATACTGACCGGCAAATTATATGTTTACAAATGATACCTTGCAAGGTTGTACAAAGATTATTACAACAGTAGGTAGGGTGTGGCCATTCTGTCACAATCCCCTACCTTCCCCCTCTCAGTCCTTTGTTCTCGAGGTGGGGGTCTTTGCTCAGCTTCCCTGCTGAGAGGTGGGGAAATCCATAAACCATGGGGGCTTGCGTTGTCTCTCTGGCCACTTTGTTGATGTGGGTCAATTTCAACTAGTTCCTTAATGACTCCCTCCTCCACCCAGACAGGGAGGTGACACCCACCTGTGTATCGTAGCCTGCCCTGAGAGCAAACTTGCTCCCTTTTCTCCCCACAGGGTAACAATGCAACACATAGGGGAAACTGAGGCACATGTAGGGGTCATAAAATACTACCAAAAAATTCCCACTTTGTCACAGGGACCAATCCCCTGGTTTTGTTGTCTTTTTCCCCCCACCTGGCTGATCTGACCCAAACTGGCTCTATTCTCCATGGCACTGTCTTCCAGGCGGCTGGGCCTTTCAAATTTGATGAGAAGGCCCAAGCTGAATCCTGGCATGTTATAGGAAATCCATTTCCTGCTGTGGGTCGCTCACACTCAGGGTCATTGGGTCCCCTTGTGCTGCACGGTGCGGCGTGGACACACAGTGACCAAGACCAGGCGAGGATAGCAGGGGGCTGCAGGTCAAGATTGAGGGGTATTGGTGAACAAGGAGGGCAGGCAGCCCCTGCTCTCATTGTGCCCCTGAACCTGGTGCATTGTCGGTGCATTTGCGTTTCCCTGGAGGCCCCTCCGCCTCTGCCCAGAGCAAAATCCCAATCAACTGTGCCATGCGGCTGCAGGGATGTCACTGGCTCTGCGCTCCAGGACTGGCACAGACTCTGTTAATGGTTCATTCGCTCAGGGATAAGAGGCTGGAGCAGCCCCTGAAGGAGAGACAGGCAGGGACCTCGCAGCTCCGCAGACATCCAGGAACTGCTCCTTCCCCTAGCACGGAGTCACCCCAGGTGAGTGGGAGCACTAGGGCCACCTTAACCGTGAACGGACAGTCCTGGCAGCACATGGCCTTACAGCAACCTTCTTTTTGTGGGGGTCTGTGGGGAGCAGAGGGGCTGGGCACAGACCGGTGAGTTATTGTAGGGTCTGTGGGGAGCACAAGGGCTGCGCACAGACCGGTGAGTTATTGTAGGGTCTCTGGGGAGCACGGGGGGCTGCACACAGACCGGTGAGTTATTGTAGGGTCTGTGGGGAGCACGGGGGGCTGCGCACAGACCGGTGAGTTATTGTAGGTCTCTGGGGAGAGGGGGTGGACAGACGGTGAGTTATTGTAGGGTCTGTGGGGAGCACGGGGGGCTGCACACAGACCGGTGAGTTATTGTAGGGTCTCTGGGGAGCAGGGGGGGCTGCACACAGACCGGTGAGTTATTGTAGGGTCTGTGGGGAGCACAAGGGCTGCGCACAGACCGGTGAGTTATTGTAGGGTCTCTGGGGAGCAGGGGGGGCTGCACACAGACCGGTGAGTTATTGTAGGGTCTCTGGGGAGCACGGGGGGCTGCACACAGACCGGTGAGTTATTGTAGGGTCTGTGGGGAGCAGGGGGGGCTGCACACAGACCGGTGAGTTATTGTAGGGTCTCTGGGGAGCACGGGGGGCTGCGCACAGACCGGTGAGTTATTGTAGGGTCTCTGGGGAGCACGGGGGCTGCACACAGACCGGTGAGTTATTGTAGGGTCTCTGGGGAGCAGGGGGGGCTGCACACAGACCGGTGAGTTATTGTAGGGTCTCTGGGAAGCACGGGGGGCTGCGCACAGACCGGTGAGTTATTGTAGGGTCTCTGGTGAGCAGAGGGGCTGGGCACAGACCGGTTAGTTATTGTAGGGTCTCTGGGGAGCACGGGGGGCTGCACACAGACCGGTGAGTTATTGTAGGGTCTCTGGTGAGCAGGGGGGGCTGCGCACAGACCGGTGAGTTATTGTAGGGTCTCTGGTGAGCAGAGGGGCTGGGCACAGACCGGTGAGTTATTGTAGGGTCTCTGGGGAGCAGGGGGCTGACACAGACCGGTGAGTTATTGTAGGGTCTCTGGGGAGACAAGGGCTGCGCACAGACCGGTGAGTATTGTAGGGTCTGTGGGGAGCAGGGGGCTGACACAGACCGGTGAGTTATTGTAGGGTCTCTGGGGAGCACGGGGGCTGCACACAGACCGGTGAGTTATTGTAGGGTCTCTGGGGAGCAGGGGGCTGCACAGACCGGTGAGTTATTGTAGGGTCTCTGGTGAGCAGAGGGGCTGGGCACAGACCGGTGAGTTATTGTAGGGTCTCTGGGAAGCACGGGGGCTGACACAGACCGGTGAGTTATTGTAGGGTCTCTGGGGAGCAGGGGGGCTGCACACAGACCGGTGAGTTATTGTAGGGTCTCTGGTGAGCAGAGGGGCTGGGCACAGACCGGTGAGTTATTGTAGGGTCTCTGGGGAGCAGGGGGGGCTGCGCACAGACCGGTGAGTTATTGTAGGGTCTCTGGGGAGCACAAGGGCTGCGCACAGACCGGTGAGTTATTGTAGGGTCTCTGGGGAGCAGGGGGGGCTGCACACAGACCGGTGAGTTATTGTAGGGTCTCTGGTGAGCAGAGGGGCTGGGCACAGACCGGTGAGTTATTGTAGGGTCTCTGGGGAGCAGGGGGGGCTGCACACAGACCGGTGAGTTATTGTAGGGTCTCTGGGGAGCAGGGGGGGCTGCACACAGACCGGTGAGTTATTGTAGGGTCTCTGGGGAGCACGGGGGCTGCGCACAGACCGGTGAGTTATTGTAGGGTCTCTGGGGAGCAGGGGGGGCTGCCACAGACGGTGAGTTATTGTAGGGTCTGTGGGGAGCACAAGGGCTGCGCACAGACCGGTGAGTTATTGTAGGGTCTGTGGGGAGCACGGGGGGCTGCGCACAGACCGGTGAGTTATTGTAGGGTCTCTGGGGAGCAGGGGGGGCTGCGCACAGACCGGTGAGTTATTGTAGGGTCTCTGGGGAGCAGGGGGGCTGCACACAGACCGGTGAGTTATTTTAGGGTCTGTGGGGAGCAGAGGGGCTGCATACAGACCGGTGAGTTATTGTAGGGTCTCTGGGGAGCAGGGGGGGCTGCACACAGACCGGTGAGTTATTGTAGGGTCTCTGGGGAGCAGGGGGGGCTGCACACAGACCGGTGAGTTATTGTAGGGTCTCTGGGGAGCACGGGGGGCTGCGCACAGACCGGTTAGTTATTGTAGGGTCTCTGGGGAGCACGGGGGGCTGCACACAGACCGGTGAGTTATTGTAGGGTCTCTGGGGAGCACGGGGGCTGCACACAGACCGGTGAGTTATTGTAGGGTCTCTGGTGAGCAGAGGGGCTGGGCACAGACCGGTTAGTTATTGTAGGGTCTCTGGGGAGCACGGGGGGCTGCACACAGACCGGTGAGTTATTGTAGGGTCTGTGGGGAGCACGGGGGGCTGCACACAGACCGGTGAGTTATTGTAGGGTCTCTGGTGAGCACGGGGGGCTGCGCACAGACGGGTGAGCTATTGTGGGGTCTACACATAGTGTTTGCTATTTTGGCAAGGCTGGGAGCTGGCAGCTTGTCTCTGGGGTTGGGAGACAATCACAGGGAACTGATGGGTCTCCTGCCCTGCAGGTGCCCCTCGCACTGTCCTGCTGGAAACTCCGAAGATCCATCCCGGCCAGTGATGCTGATCTTGAGCTGTTCCTCCAAGCTGCGGCTGCTGGAGGGGATGCTACGGCAGGGCCTGCCTGACACGCTACCGGTGACCAGGACTCGCCCAACCCCGCAGGGCCGAACCCTCCCACTTTTGGGCTGGGCAGAGAGCAGGGGAAAGTCCTTTGGAGTCCCCTGGGTGACGGGGCACATATTGGGCTGGGGTGCAATCCCCTGGGTCAGGGGGTATATGGAGGGCTAATCCCTCCACCTGGTCAGGGGGTAGCAGTATGTGGGAAAGACCCTTTCTCCAGGTCAGGGGGCAGCAGTTCAGGGCCGGGCACACTCCCATGGATCCACAGGGGCTGTGCCGTACCCCAGCCTGTCACCAGTTCCCTGGGAGCAACCCCTGTAGTGGGCCAGAGCCCGAGGCTGCACACAGCTCCACAGGGGCAGGCCTGTGATCTCCACCACTGGGCCTTTGACACCAGGCCTCCTGTCGCTGTCCGTGGCTCCCTGCAGCAAATGCAGCCGAGCCAGAAGCCCGCGGGAGGCTTGGGCCGGGTCCCTACCAGCTCAATGCCCCTAGTGTGTGTTGGCAGAGACCCCCGCAGCCTTTGCAAAACATGGGAGCAGTTCATTAGTCACCTGGCTACAGACTCCTCAGGTTAGCACAGGGAATCAAAGGTTAAGCCACAGCCCAACCTGGCCAAGCCAGGGCAATGAGCCAGCCAAGCCGTCATGGGCCCCATGGCTGGCTCTGGCTCTGTCCCTTTGTTCTTAGGCCAAGGCCAAGCGCCGAGACCCTCCAAAAGCCGGCTGTTAGCCCCGTATCCTGACCCCTCGCAGCCGCTGTTCTTCAGCTGGGGGCCTCTCCACTGCAGAGCCATGAGGGGGGAATCTCACTCGCTCGCTGTGAACGTCCACCCCAGCCATTGGCATTTCCGTGGTCTCTCCAGACCCTCCTTGCATGTATGGAGACTTTATTCCCTTGGTTAATGACGCTGGTCTCCAGCCGGGCTGCTACGTGACTCACAACCCCTGTCCCTTCCCTTCACATGCTGTGCAGAGCAGTACAGGATGCAGAGGGAAACTGAGGTACATATCGGCATCAGAAAGATACATGGAAAGCTTCTACTTCATTACTCAGGCCCCCGCCCTGGGTTGGGGTAGCAGCAGGAGGGCACACCCCTCCCACAGGTTAGAGGTAGCGGGGGGGGCACACCCCTCCCACAGGTTAGAGGTAGCGGGGGGGGGGGGCCCGTCCTCCAGGTTAAAGGTAGCGGTGGCGGGGGGGGAAGGCCCTCCCCTAGGTTAGAGGTAGCACGAGGGGGCCCTCCCCCTGGGCCTCCTCCTCACTCGTCCCCCTGCCTCCCAAAGTCCAAACCCAGCACCAATGCCTGCTGCTCACCCAGCGTAGCCGCTAGGACCTGCCCATCCAATCAGAGCACAAGCGAGCTCTGAGCCAGCCAGCCTCAGTATGGGCAGGCTTTGCGTAAGCCAATGAACATGTGGGTGGCTCCATGGCAGCCAATCACAGTGTGGGACAGCTGGGTGCCAGCCAAGTATGGCTGTGACTACCCCCATGCCCCCACCCCCCGGCTCTGAATTTCCTCCTGGTCCTCACCATGGCTCTGACCACCCGCTACCCCCTCGCCCCCGTGCAGCTACACCCTTGACAAAATGGGCCTTTTTATAATATTTTTATGAACCCTATGTGTGCCTCAGTTTCCCCAGTTACCCAGTGGGGGAAGCAGCTTAAGTTTGCTCTCCGTGCTAAGTGACACAGGCAGTTTGCTTTCAGTTCGCGGCAGGGGTGAGACACTGGATGCGCACGTAGCAAAACACACTCCGTTGAAGGAAACAGCGAGAACCCGGGGTATAACCACCACCCTCGGAAGCACATCACAAACCTGTGCAAGGAGAGAGGGTGAAGCATTGGGAAGTTCAACAAGGTGCAGCTGACTGCGGGCTGGAGAAGGGTGACGGGACTCAGCAGCAGGTTCCAGACCCAGGCGGGGTTTGATGCAGGTCTGAGCGTGACAGACGCGGCAGCAGGGCGTCCTCATGGCCCGGTTCCCCGCCAATAGATTTGAAGCGGTGGGAGTTAGCGAGGAAAGCAAAGGTGCTAGCAGATGATGAGAGGGAACCAGATGGCTGTGAGAAGCAGCTAAAACGTGAAGAAACACGTAAAAACATGATCTGGAGATGTGGAGGGGCAAGAGAACCCACCAAGGGTAAGTGGGCAAAGGCTCCAGGGATGCCCATTCTGAAGGGAGCTGGATACCAAACTGTCCCAGTTTGAGGAGGAGGAGGAGGGGCTGTAGACACCAACCTCACTGCCTTTGAGAAGGGTTGCGGTTTGAACCTGGCTGACCCTGTGGACCGGTGCTGCTGTCTCACCCCCATACGCGGTCCCCCACGTAAAGTGACCCTGCCCAGTTTGGCTTCAAAGAGGGAAGAGATGTAATAAAGTAGGATTTTTCTGTAATATTTTTACAACACTATGTGTGCCTCAGTTTCCCCCATGTGTTGCATGGCTACCTAGTTGCAGGAGTGAGGGGGAAGATTAAGTTTACTCTCAGGGCAGGCTAAGAGACATAGGGGTGGGTGTCACCTCCCTGTGTGGGTGGAATGAAGAGTCCTTAAGGAACTTGTTGAAATCAACCCAGATCACCAAGGGGGTCAGAGAAACAAGGCAAGTGCCACTGACGCCTGGATTTTCCTGCCTCTCAGCTGGGAGGCTGAGCAGAGACCCCAGCTCGAGAGCACAGGACTGGGAGGTGGGGGATGCTGGACAAAGATGGAGGCTCTCACCTGGAGCTGGCCAAGGAGGTCAGACAGAGACAGAGACAGCCTGGAAAGGGTCTTTCACCCCAGCTTGGCTGGGCGCTGGCTGACCGCAATGGACACTGCTTTACCCTCAGTTCTCTCTGCTGACCTCAGGCTGCTCCGTGACTCATAAACCGGCCTGGCTTGACAATGTTGCCGCTTGTCACAGCAAACACAGGCTGAGGTGTCGGAGCCCCCGAAGAGCGGCCAGGTCTCTCCAGGGGTCTGGCTCAGTGGGCGGCACCAGGAGGGCTGGAGCCCAGAGGCTCCATCTGAGAGGCGGTGACCAGCTCTGCAGGAAGAGTGGGGCCCCCTGGGGGGCTGGCACTTTGAGGGCTCCTCCAAGGGGCAGAGTGAAAGCTGGGGCCTAGCACCGATCCTGGGGATCCAGGACATCCCCGGACTCTGACCCTGTGTCTTGGCAGGTCTACGGCACTGTGATGCATGTGAATCGCGGGAACCCGGCCAGCCAGGAGGTGGTGGTGGATTCATGGCCAGAGTTCAAAATCGTCCTCACCCGGCCAAACAGAGAAGTGCGGCCTTTGCTGGGCCCCTCCCATCTGCCCCGCTTCCCTCCCCTGCCTGACGCCATCCCTGCCCCGCTCCCCTCCCCCCCCAACGCCATCCCTGCCCCGCTCCCCTCCCCCACCTGATGCCATCACTGCCCCGCTCCCCTCCCCAACTTCCTTGCCCCTTTCCCTGCTTGGTGTAACCTCCCCCTTCTGTCTGCCCCACCTCCCCACAGCCTGTCTCCCCTTCCTGCTGCCCAGACCCTCCCCGGCCCATTCTGCCCTAAGCCCCCTGGCTCTGTTCACAGGGCTCCTTCCCCCCTCCTCAATCTCTGCCTTGGGGCTTGCGGTGCCCTGCTCCCCCATTGCCATCCCTGCGCTCACCCCCAGGCAGTGTCCCCCTGCAGGTGACATGGGACCCAAGTGATTTCGGCACCAACTTGTACACGGCCTTCTACCGAGACGAGGGAGCCTGCCGGGCCCTGCTGGGGAACAGCCGTGCCGTGGACTGGAGCCAGGCCTTCCAGATACAGGGTGAGCCCCTCCAGCCCTGCTCCATCCAGCTCCTGCCACACAGGGAGCAGGAACACTACCCCCCCATGGGCCAATAGCCCTGAGGAGCCAGCCCAGGCCCCTCTCCCCCCACGGGCCAATAGCCCTGAGGGGTCCGACTGAGTCCCCCCCCCCATGTGCTAATAGCCCCAAGGAATTCACCTAGACCCCTCCCCCCCCACAGGCCAACAACTCAGAGGAGCTCACCTGCTCCCCCTCCCCCTCAGGCCAGTAGCCTCAAGGAGCTCATCTGGACCCCTCCCCACACACGGGCCAATAGCCCCAAGGAGCCTGACTGGGCCTCTTCTCCATCCAGACCCGGGATCCTGAATGAGCCAAGTTTTGGGAACCCCCAATTGGGTCATACCGGCTCACAGTGGCCCTTGGCCCCCCCCCGCTGCTCTCCCCCACCGGGCTGGGCCCCCACATCCATGGGCACCTTTCAGGGGGACCCTGCTGACAGTGCACGGCTGTCCCTGCAGGGCTGCAGGATGGGGTATACGAGACCATCAGGGACATTGCCAGGGCCAGGGGACATGAGATGAAGATGTATCCGTACCTGCCCCTGCTGCACCCAGACCCACCTTCCATGCCCCAGTACCGGTAGGTGCCCCCCAGATATGGGGTGTGAGAGAATGGGGCAATGTACACAACCAGCCTGGGCTAGATGGAGGGGGGGAGCGGGACTGGGGGAAGGGAAAGGACCCTGGGGTGCCAGGCCAGAGGCCTCCATTGCACCCTAGAGATGGTGGCAATGAGTTCCCTAGGCTAACAGCGCACCAGGCACAGACCCCTTGGTCCCCCCTTCCCTGTCAGTGGGCAGAACCCCAGGCAGGGGGTTCGCTGCCTGCTGAGCCCTGGTGCTTTCATCTCAGGGAGTTGAGCTTAGCCAAGGCCCATCAGCAGTGATGACTCTGCTGGGGCTGGACTGGGCCTTGTCAGACAGCCCCTGTGCAAGGCCTCCGGTGTGCGTTGATCCCCTCCCGCCATGTGCCAGGACCTGGCTCAATCCCCTCCCCCAGGGCTCCCCTTCAGAGCTGGGTGGCACACCCCTCCCCCACAGGATACATTCCATGCCCCCCCCACACTTTGACATTCGGCAACACCCCCACCCCCAATTTTCTGTCCAGCCCAAAACTGGGAAGATGGTGCCACTGGACCCTGCTCCCCTCCTGTGCCACGTCATACCAGCTCAATTTCTGCTCCCTGGGCTCACTCGCCCTTGTACCAGGTCGACCCCCCAACCCCCTACACCCCACCCCCCAAGCTGGGTCAATCTCCCCCTCTGCTCACACCTCCCATGTTTGGTTGCGCCCCACTCCCCACCCCTACATTTACCCCTTCCCCTGCCCAGGCTGGTTCTATTCTGCTCCCTCCCCTTGCCAGGTCAATCTCCTTTGTGCTTACCCCACCCCATGTCTCTCTCCCCCCTGCCCTGTGTTGCAGGCATGACGAGGGGCTCAGGCTGGCCCCCGTGTCCCCCACCCACGCCATGCTACTCAGCAACACCTGGATGTTTGGGTGGAACAGCTGGAGCCTGCGCTATTTGTGCCTCCTGATCCGCCACTTCCCCAACGCCTGCCTGCTGGCCCCTGAGGGGCCCCCCATCTCCTGGTCCCTCAGCGACCCGCTGGCTGCCCTGATGCACGGTTACACGCTCCCGGAGCATCGCGGCCAGCGCCACATGGCGCCCGTGGTGGGGATGCTGGCGGCACAGTTGCACGCCCGCGGCTTCCCTGTGTACACCCGGGTGCTGCCCCACAACGAGCCCTCCCTGCGCTGCCTGCGCCACCTCGGCTTCCGCATTCTGCCGGGAGTGTTCCACCAGCTGGTGGTGCGGCCTGGGTTCGCCCAGTCCCAGCCAGCCCATGCCCTGGACTCGGCCCAGGGCCCCGCGCCCGGCTCTGGGGAACGGCCGTGCGCCCAGTAACACGCGGCACAGGGAGAGGCGGAGAAGGGGACGCAGCCCAGGGCCCCGCGCCCGGCTCTGGGGAATGGCCGTGCGCCCAGTAACACGCGGCACAGGGAGAGGCGGAGAAGGGGACGCAGCCCAGGGCCCCGCGCTGGGGAACGGCCGTGCACCCAGTAGCATGCAGCACAGGGAGAGGCGGAGAAGGGGACGCAGCCCAGGGCCCCGCGCCCGGCTCTGGGGAACGGCCGTGCGCCCAGTAACACGCGGCACAGGGAGAGGCGGAGAAGGGGACGCAGCCCAGGGCCCCGCGCCCAGCTCTGGGGAACGGCCGTGCGCCCAGTAACACACAGCACAGGGAGAGGCGGAGAAGGGGACGCAGCCCAGGGCCCCGCGCCCGGCTCTGGGGAACGGCCATGCGCCCAGTAGCACGCGGCCCAGGGAGAGGCGGAGAAGGGGACGCAGCCCAGGGCCCCGCGCCCGGCTCTGGGGAACGGCCGTGCGCCCAGTAACACGCAGCACAGGGAGAGGCGGAGAAGGGGACGCAGCCCAGAGCCCTGCGCCCGGCGCTGGGGAACGGCCGTGCGCCCAGTAGCACGGGGCACAGGGAGAGGCGGAGAAGGGGACGCAGCCCAGGGCCCCGCGCCCAGCTCTGGGGAACGGCCGTGCGCCCAGTAACACGCGGCACAGGGAGAGGCAGAGAAGGGGACGCAGCCCAGGGCCCCGCGCCCGGCGCTGGGGAACGGCCGTGCGCCCAGTAGCACGCGGCACAGGGAGAGGCGGAGAAGGGGACGCAGCCCAGGGCCCCGCGCCCGGCGCTGGGGGACGGCCGTGCGCCCAGTAACACGCGGCACAGGGAGAGGCGGAGAAGGGGACTCGGCCCAGGGCCCTGCGCCCGGCTCTGGGGAACGGCCGTGCGCCCAGTAACACACAGCACAGGGAGAGGCGGAGAAGGGGACGCAGCCCAGGGCCCTGCGCCCAGCTCTGGGCCCTGCGCCCAGCTCTGGGGAACGGCCGTGCGCCCAGTAGCACGCGGCACAGGGAGAGGCGGAGAAGGGGATGCAGCCCAGGGCCCTGCGCCCAGCTCTGGGGGACGGCCATGCTCTGACCACCCGTAGCGCTGGGGGAGCGGATGGGGACACGGCCCAGCCACTTCCAGGGACCTACTGCTCTGCCACCCCCACGAAGGGGACATACTGACCAGCCACCAGGGGAATCAGGGCCTGGTAGAGGAGACTAGCTCATAGGCCATTATCCCCTGGAGCAGGGCAGAGGCTCAGCAGGGGGCACTCTCCCCCAGCAGTCAGTGCTGGCTCCAAAGAGAGCAGGGTGAGGGCTCAGCAGGGGGCGCTCTCCACTCAGGGTGCTGGCCCCGTGCCCTGTGCTCAGCAGGGGGCGCTCTCCACTCACAGGCCTGCACCAATGCCCTGTGCTGTGAGCTCAGCAGAGGGTGCTCTCCTGCTCCCTTCCCCAGGCAGTTTGTTGCTTGGCTAGGGCTGTGGGTACGGGTCCCCTTTCCAGGAGCTGTCCGTGGTCTTGCCAAAGCTTTGGTGCAAGCTCCCTTGGGCTGTGACCACATGTCCCAGCTGTGGCCTACCCCTTACCTCCCCCGTGGTGATAGGGTGCAGTTGCTGGCCTTGGACGGTTGATCCGGGGCCAGCAGGAAAGCCAGGCCAGGGCTTGTGTTTATGATGGTGCACTACACGTGGGAGGAGAGCGGCTGTAGGACCCCATCAAAGAGCCCTGCTGGGCCCAAACACAGGGAGGAGCATCCGCTCTTCTCCCTTTCCCCCAGAATAGATGCCCTTGGCAGGCGACATGGGACTGACCTGCCCTCCCGTAGTCCCAGTGCACAGGCTGCTCCTCCCTGTGTAGCTGGGCCCACCCCCACCCCAGCAGACATGGTAGACTCTCCTCTCCCTTGCTAGTAGGTCAGTAGCAGTGTGGAGAGGGGCTGGGGCACTCCAGCTCCTTGCAGACCCCAAGGACACACATCCCCTTCCTCTCAGGGGGTGGGACAAAGAATTTTCTGTAATAGTTTTGATGTCTGTATGCCTCAGTTTCCCTCTGTACTTTGCAGCTCAGGGACAGGAGTGGGTGTGTCACATGGCTGGGGGGCAAGAAGTGGGCGTTCAGGATCAAAACCAACCCAGATCAACAACGGAGGCTCCACAAAGAAGAAGAGTTGGCTTTTAGCGGGACTCAGGAGCTTCCAGCTAGGACTAAAAGAGATAGAAACAGGATCCATTTTTAGGTCTTCAGCAGCTTGGCTGGATGGGGCCCTGGTCTTCACCTTTACTTCTCTGTGCTGCCCTAGGGACCTCCCAGGCCAGGATCCAGGGGACCAATAAAACTTGTGCTGTGTGGAAAAGGCTTTGGGATATCACTGCAAACACTGGCTGGGGGACACTGGTCCCCAAAGAGCAGCCAGGCCTTTCCAGGGATCTTGCTCAGTGGGACGTGCTGGGCAGAGGTCGTGGGGTGAAGCAGGAGGGCTGGAGCCGTGTGGTCGGCCCTGGAGGAAGAGAGAGTCCCCTTGGGAGGCTGGCACATCACAGGGTTCCTCCAAGAAGTGGTTTAAAAGCTGGGGCATAGCACTGATCCTGGGGAGCTATGACAGGGAGCAGTGCTATGGGACCTAGCCGGGGGCACCAGGCCAGCGTGGAGTGTGTCCTTCACAGCCAGAACCGACAGCAGAGGGGGGGCAGGCACATCTGCAGGCAGACCCAGGGGTAGAGCCAGCCTTGCCCCCAGCCAGGGAACTGTCCCACCAGGGCACAGCGCCCCCACCCAGGAGCTATCCCACCAGAGCAGCGCCCCCACCCAGGCAGCCGACCCCCCCACCCAGCCTGCACTGCCCCATGACTGAATCTCAGACTTGCGCAGTCTCCATTTCCCAAGATTGAATCATTATTTAAAAAACTGTATAGAAATCACCACTCTCCCATCATTCAGTGCATCTGGCCCAGCCCTGGGCCTGGCCCCGGGCCCCTCGCCCAGCTCCGGCCTCAGCGGAACCGCTTCTCCTCCCACACGTACAGCTTCCCCGCAGGCACCTTCCGGAAAAACAGGCTGTTGCCTCGGCTCATGTTCCCCTGCATGGAGAGGAAAGGAGAGGGCTGTCAGGGTGGCCTGCCCTGCTTCCCTCTGCCTACCACCCAGGCAGGGCACCCAGGCCCCAGTCTGCCAGCCCTCCTACCCACGCCGCAGGGCCAGCACACCCCAGCCCTTTTATAACCCCCACCCCGTGATGAGTGCCAGGCCCGACTTCCCCACACACTCCGTCCCCACGCTAGGGGGCTGGGGTGAGGCTGGGACGTACCTCCTTGAGCAGCTGGCTCCAGCAGTCTAACCAGGAGGAGTAGTTGGGTGCGTAGGGGGGGAGGCCACCAGCCAGCCTGCAAGAGAGAAGAGGGGGAGGGAGTGGCAGTGAGAGACAGCCCTGCTCCGAGCCTGCAAACGGCCCCGCCAAGGCCTCTGCAGCAGCCAGTCGCTCCGGGGGCAGCAGCTGGGTCACCCCCTGCCGGCCACCCCACCGCAGCCTGTTCCCAGAGCCCTCCCTGGCGTCACCAGCACCACTTCCTGTCTGAGCCCTTCTGAGCTACGTAGCTTTAACAGGGCCCCGAGCCAGGCAGCTCAGCCAGGCCCCAAGACCCCCAGTTGCCCCCCGTCCATTCCCCCATGGCCAGAGCTTCCTGCCCCTACCCCCAACACTACAGAGGGGCAGACGGGTACCAGGAGAGCAGCCTTTCTCCTGGGGCCAGAGCCGATGCTCCCTTGTGAGATGGCCACGGGCCGCAGCAGCAACGCTCCCCCAGAGGTGGGGGGGGGGGGGCGGCAGGGGCTGATTCAGGAGCGCAGACCTCCCCCACCCCACCAAGTCTCAGCTGCTCCTGCAGGGCGGACAGGGACAGACTATCGCACCCAACAGGCCCAGGTCTATTCTGGGAGGCTGCAACCTGCGATTTCGCTCCTGGCAAGCAGCCGAGGGTGACACAGGAGGGGAGGCGCTGCAGGGCCATGGCCAGGGAGCCCAAGAGCCTGCCAAGCATCTGGGGAAGAGGGAGCCTGTGTGACAGACAGGGAGTGAGCTGCGAGCGCAGCCAGGACTAGCTCCACGTCAGGCTGGGGCGGGGGAGGGACGGACGGACGACAAACACACACAGATGGGGCCGGAGCTCAGGATCGCGGCTCTGCCAGCTGCAGCAGGGAGGGGATGATCTGTCCCCCCGTCCCACTCTGCCGTCGAGTCGCTAGGCCCAGAGGTGTTTCACGGGGAATGACTCTGCAGGTGGGGGGTGATCTGTTCCCAGCACCAGCCCATGCAGGGCTGCAGCTACCCTGGGGGAAGGTGCCTCTCCCTGGCATGGCTCCTTTCCCTTCCCAGACGCGTGGATGCGCCGTTACCCCGGTCTGACAGTGGACACACAGGGGCTTTTGCCACTTTCACTCACCGCTCCAGCTCAGCTTCCCTGGGGGATGGGCTCCAGCTCAAAGCAGAAGGTTCAGCGCCCTTCAGCTCTCGCTAGCTGTGCTCTACCCGCAATGGTCCAGTCCCTCTTTGAACCTCCCTCAGCTCCCTCCAGTGGCAGAGAGCTCCACAGGCCCCTCACATATTGCGGGAAAAGCCACCTCCTTGTATCTGAACGTCGCAGCCTTCAGCGTCCCCAGCCACCCACCTGGTGCCATGTCTGGGCTGGGCAGAGCCCTCTCGCCTGCCGGTGCCAGCTGTTCACATTCCACACCAGCAGCCACTGACAGCGACTCCGCTCCCCCCTGAAGGGTTTCTCCCCAGCCCCCGAGGGGCCGGAACATCGTCATGGGAGCTCAGTTGGGAAGCCTGGCTCCGGATTCCCAGAGAAAACCCAATAGGATGTGTGGGGGGAGATGCTGCGTCTCCCTGACTCCTGTACAGGAGCCACCGTGTCCCCTACTCCTCAGGGCTGGAGCAGGAGCCCTTGCGTTGCAGGGGGAGGGTGCAGCTGGCTCAGGACGGTGTGCGGGGCACTCACCCACAGTTGTTAATGGCCATCAGGTTGGAGACGAGCACGAAGGGGTACGTCAGCATACTGGCGAAGAACTGCAGGCATGAGAGATGGACCACAGTTAGCAGGGCGGGGTGCTGGCTTCGCAGCCCCGCCTGGAGACCCCCAGCCCCAGGAGCACAAGGAATAGAGAGGGAGGGTATCTCAGCGGGGCCCTGGCCCAGAGAGGGAGCTCGCTGGCACTCACTGACTCACTCCTGGGAGAGGAGGTCTTTGTCCTTCCCTTCCCAGGTCACCAGAGAGCACATGGTCTGAGCCAGGCAGCAGTGTCTGCTCGGGACAGACATGGGCTGGATGGGTAGGGCAGTGGGCACAACATGCCCAAGGGGAGGGGGCCGGCTGGGCAGAGCCCTGGGGGTGGGGCCAGGCCAAGGTGCACTAGCGGGTGGAGAGTTCACCCACCATGAAGCACCAGCTAGTGATTTAGACGCATATGAGGGCACCAACCTCACCCCCCCCATGGTTCCCTCCCACCCCAGGGCAGCTCTGTGGGGCAACATATATAAATGATCTGGAGGATGGTGTGGATTGCACTCTCAGCAAATTTGCGGATGATACTAAACTGGGAGGAGTGGTAGATACACTGGAGGGGAGGGATAGGATACAGAAGGACCTAGACAAATTGGAGGATTGGGCCAAAAGAAATCTGATGAGGTTCAATAAGGATAAGTGCAGGGTCCTGCACTTAGGACGGAAGAACCCAATGCACAGCTACAGAATAGGGACCGAATGGCTAGGCAGCAGTTCTGCGGAAAAGGACCTAGGGGTGACAGTGGACGAGAAGCTGGATATGAGTCAGCAGTGTGCCCTTGTTGCCAAGAAGGCCAATGGCATTTTGGGATGTATAAGTAGGGGCATAGCGAGCAGATCGAGGGACGTGATCGTTCCCCTCTATTCGACATTGGTGAGGCCTCATCTGGAGTACTGTGTCCAGTTTTGGGCCCCACACTTCAAGAAGGATGTGGATAAATTGGAGAGAGTCCAGCGAAGGGCAACAAAAATGATTAGGGGTCTGGAACATATGAGTTATGAGGAGAGGCTGAGGGAGCTGGGATTGTTTAGCCTGCAGAAGAGAAGAATGAGGGGGGATTTGATAGCTGTTTTCAACTACCTGAAAGGGGGTTCCAAAGAGGATGGCTCTAGACTGTTCTCAATGGTATCAGATGACAGAACGAGGAGTAATGGTCTCAAGTTACAGTGGGGGAGGTTTAGATTGGATATTAGGAAAAACTTTTTCACTATGAGGGTGGTGAAACACTGGAATGCGTTACCTAGGGAGGTGGTAGAATCTCCTTCCTTAGAGGTTTTTAAGGTCAGGCTTGACAAAGCCCTGGCTGGGATGATTTAACTGGGAATTGGTCCTGCTTTGAGCAGGGGGTTGGACTAGATGACCTTCTGGGGTCCCTTCCAACCCTTATATTCTATGATTCTAACCCTTGGCCCCCACCCCCAAGAGGAGAGTAGGGGTTACACACGCACTCCAGTGACAGCCTGTGAGTAGCTCTTCATCTCGCTCATGGTGGAGACCTAGAGAGGGAAGGAACCGCATTGAACAAGGAGACCCTGCACCCTGCCACAGCCCAGCCCCTCCATCCCCAGACACAGGGGGCTGCCTCTGCCCCGATTCCCCGCACCGAGTCTGCACGCTGGGCTCCACCAGGGCCTGAAACCCAAACCACCCCATGTGGGTCGCAGCCACTACTTGGACAGGCTCCCCGGCTCGGTGCTGGGAGGGCAGCACACAAAGGGGAGCGCAGGCCAGGCCCAGCAGAGATGGGACCTTCCCATGCTGAGCGGGTCACCTCCCAGTGCCCCCCGAACTCCGTTTGCCTCCAGGCCCCACACCCTGGGCAGCCACCAGGGCGATGCTGCAGGGGCCTACCCCGTTCTCCAGTGCATAGGTATTGATGAGGTAGGCCAGCATGTTACAGAGCCACAGTGACAGCACATCGCCCAGCAGCCGGGGAACGAGCCCCCTGAAAGAAACACAGCAGGTGAGTGAGCAGAGGGTGCCCCCCCGGGCCAAGGCTGGCAGGAGCCTCCTCCAGCACAAGGGGCAGCCCCTCTCTTGCAAGGATAAGCTGGGCCCCACCCCACAATCCTGGGCGAGTCTCCCCACGGACAGCATGTGGGGCCTGCGGCACAGCGAGATTCAGGGACTTGCCCTAACTTCCTCGCCAGCAGGGGGAGACTGGGAGACCCCTGGGCTGTGACGCAGGGCCCAGAAACAGCAGTGGCCAGAGGAGGAGCTGGGACGAGAATTCATGGCCCCTTCCTCTGAGCCACAGGTGGAGCCTGGCCAGCAGAGTCCCTGCTGCTTTCCCTGACAAGCTGGATGGGCCCCCGCCTCCCAAGGGCGCCTGTCCCCCTCCCCAGGGCGCCCTCCCCCCACTCCCACCCCCGCAGGGCACACACCCCCGCCTCCCAAGGGTGCCCTCCCCCTGTTCCCACCCCCGCAGGGCGCACACCCCCGCCTCCCAAAGGTGCCCTCCCCCCATTCCCACCCCCGCAGGGCGCACACCCCCGCCTCCCAAGGGCTCCCTCCCTGTTCCCACCCTCGCAGGGCACACACCCCCGCCTCCCAAGGGTGCCCTCCCCCCGTTCCCGCCCCTGCAGGGCACACACACCCGCCTCCCAGGGGCTCCCACTGCCTCCTGGCTGCAGGACTCACGCAAAGAAGCCCAGGATGCCCTCTTCCCGGTAGATGGTGACGAAAGGGCTGAAGATGCCACTGGGCCAACGGGAGACAGAGGAGAGAGATGCTGTCACATGTGGCTCCCGAAGGAAGGGACTGTGGGTTACCATATCCTCAACTGCCCCCTACCAGCCACCCATGTGCCAACCCCTCCTCCCCCCCCAGACCACACCAGCTACCCACTCCCTTGGCAGCGCCTGCAGGACCCCTGGTCCCAACCCCTCTCACCGGGCCCTTACCTGTACTTGGTCTCCCTGCCAATGAACTGCACCATGCATCTCAGCGTGATCACTGCGGGCAGAGCCAGACACAGCAGGGTCAGCATGGGGGAGCTGGGCTGCACCCCCGCCACCCCAGTCCTGTGGGGTCAGACACGGCACACCGGGAACCTTGGACCTCTGAACTCAGGGCATCAGCATGGGGTCACAGGCCCCAGCACCAAGGGTTCACAGACTCACTCAGCCGGGAGCTCTGCTGAGGATCGGCTGGGTCCTGAATTACCCCAGCACTGGTCTCCATGGGTGGATCCCACGGAGCAGGGCTGGGCGTGAGCCCCATCCAACCACCCCCACAGCGCTGGGTACCTACCGTGGAAGGGATGGGTGACTAGCGTTGCGGCAGAACGGGCAACCATCTCTCGGGAAGTCTGGAACAGACACAGGCCATTAGGGCTCAGCCAGGACACGTGCTCAGCGGAGAGCAAATAAGGAGGGGAAGGGCCGCGGCAGAGATGGCCCTGGGGTGGTAGGAGAGGGGCGGCAGAAGGCAGGGCAGTGGGGGGCTGGTGGAAATGCTGCGGGGGAGCCACTTGGGGGCAGCCGAGTCTCAGCACTCCCAGGCTGCCTGCTATGGGAGGTGCCAGGAGCCAACTCTCCACAGCACACATGCCACTGGCACATGGCCAAAGCCAACACAGCCCATCGGCGACTGGACGCCTAGCTCTAGGAGCAAGCCTGGGTCTCTGCCCCACACAGCCAGATGCGCCTGGAGTGCAACAGGAGGCAGTGCCTGAAGGCTGCCCTGCTGATGAAATGTGGCGTGTGGGGCAGGGGCATGTGTCAAGAGGTTTCAGGAAAGGAGGGAAGGGGAATGATGCCATGGTCAAGGGGGGTGGAGAGAGGTTCAGAACAATGGGCACCCCAGGGAGCGGGTGGCAGCCAGGACCCTGCTAAGGGGGCGACTCGCTGGGCCAAGAAGGGAGGGCTCTAGCAGGGGGAGATGAGGATGCAGACTGTGACCCTGGCAGGCCAGTCACCAGCTCTTGCCCAGGCTGCAGGTGTTAGCTAAGAACCGACAACCTTGTAGCTGAAGCCCAGACCAGGTCACCTGTCTGGTAGTTTTCAGAGTAGCAGCAGTGTTAGTCTGTATTCGCAAAAAGAAAAGGAGTCCTTGTGGCACCTTAGAGACTAACCAATTTATCTGAGCATAAGCTTTCGTGAGCTACAGCTCATTTCATCCTGTTAATATATCCCAGACTGATGTCTGCCTTCTTGAAATCCATTGTCTTTATTTTGCTGTTCTCCCTCCTACCATTCCTTATCATTTCATGATCACTTTCACAAAAGCTGCCTTCCACTTTCTAATTGTCAACCAGTTTCTCCCTATTTGTCAAAATCAAATCTAGAACAGTCTCCCTCAGTAGCTTTCTCCATCTTCTGAAATAAAAAATTGTCTCCAATACATTCCAAGAACTTGTTGGATAATCTGTGTCATTTTCCCAACAGATGTCGCAGTAGTTGACGTCCCCTATCACCACCAAGTCCTGGGCTTTGGATGATTCTGTTAAGTTTTAAAAAAGCCTCAACCATCTCTTCTTCCTCATTAGGTGGTCTGTAGTAGACCCCCTACCATGACATCACCCTTGTTTTTCACCCCTTTTATCCTTACCCAGAGACTTTCAACAAGTCTATTTCCATCTCAACCTCAGTCCAAATGTATACTTTTTAATATATAAGGCAACTCCTCCTCCTTTTCCCTGCCTGTACTTCCTGAGCAAGCTGTATCCTTCTATAGCAATATTCCAGCCATGCGTATTATCCCACCAAGTCTCTGTGATACCAACTATGTCACAGTTGTGTTTATTTACTAGCATTTCAAGTTCTTCCTGATTATTCCCCATACTTCTCGCATTAATATACAGACATCTAAGATACTGATTTGACACCTCCCCCCAGTTCTGTCTTGCCTCTCTCTAATCCCTGCTATAACAACCCTTGCTCCTCCCAAATTCCAAAATGTAGTGTTTAGACTCTATGAAACGCTTATACAATGCTGCCTATGTTCGTCTCACTTGTAGTGTCTGTATTCCAGGTGGCAAGGAAATAGGTACATTTTGCTTTAGAACTCTGAAAACGTTCACCCTGAACTTGTGAACTCAAGCCCGGGAATTGTCCCCCACCCAACCGCAAGGACTAGCAAAATCAGATGGGCCATCAAGGATTCATAGGACTGGTTAATGGCCCTATCGCACCTGGCAAATGCCAGGTGCAAGGAAGCTCGTCCTGTGGGCTTGGGAGCTGAATGAAGGAAATAAGAAAGCCACAGGAAAATTTCCCCCTTTTTTGGCTCTGAAGGGCCAGGGACTCTAAACTGAAGCCAGAGATCCCCAGGGGCTGCCCGGAAAGACACTTTGAATTGTTGCTCATTACAGCTCTGTCATTCTTGGGATTCAGATGGTAACTCAATGGTGTGTATGTTTGCTTGCTTTAACCTGTACAAAACTCTCATTCCTTTTTCCTAGTTAATAAACCTTTAGGTAGATTATTACAGGACTGGCTACAGGCATTGTCTTTAGTGTAAGACCCAGGGTGCCAACTGATCTAGGATAAGTGACTGGTCCCTTGGGACTGGAAGCAACGTGAATGTGGTGTGATTTTTGAAGTAAGTGACCATGTATCACTAAGTCCAGTTTGCCTGCATGGCAAGACAGGCTGGAGAGTCTAAGGGGACTGCCTGTGACTCCACAGTCGGACAGTTACAGGTATCCAGGAGCTCATATTTGATGAAATCTAATTCTAACACACACTCTGGGGTGGCTGCCCCATTTCTGACAGTCTGCCTTGAGGCAGGCGCTCGTGGACGTGAACCCTCCAGACAGCGCGACACACACTTCACCCCAGAGGGATCCAACTCCAGCAATGGAGGGTCCGCAAGCCCCACATGCTACCCTGGCCCCTAGGTTCCCTTGGGCCTGGGCCTTCGCTCACCTCCTTGATGACCTGCTCCCACGAGGACACGGGCTCCTTAAGGCTGGCCCCGGGCTCCTGGGGAGAGGGCATGAGAGAGGTTGAGGTAGGAGAGCTCCCCCCTACCCACTCCCCAAATGACACTGCCCCCTCCCACAGAGCCCGCATGGAGAGCAGCAGGCCCTGCCTTGGTCCCCTTTGTTATTCGATATTCCCAGTGCAGTAGCATCTAAAAGCCATTCAGTCCAGGCCCACCCTGCAGCTCGCTGGGCCCATCCACCCAGCCCCCCACCTCCCTGACCACACCAGGCTTTGTATGAGTGGACATCTCCCAACCCCCGTGCTCCTGACAGGGCACGTTCCTACCATCTCCCCTTTCCCCAGGGCAGGGCAGAGCTTGGAGAGGTGCCTACAAGGGAAAGGACCCAGAAACCAACTCCAACATACCTCCTCCTGGTCAGCTTCCTGGTACCGCTAGGGAGCAAGGGGACAGAGTTAGCACAGCAAAGGCCACTGGGATATGGAGGTCTCGTTGGGCCCAGGCAGCCAGGGAGGAGCGCACAAGCACCAGGGCTTCACTGCCCCTCGGCTGCCTAGGTAGGCCGGGCTGAGTCAGAATGTTATGGGGACTGACAGCAAGTGGCCTCCAACATTCCCATAGGGGAAGACAGCCCTGGGACCCACTAGAAACCACAGCGAGCCCTGAGAGAGGAGCCGACACCCTGCTGGGCCAGAACTCAGCCCCCCGGACGCCTCGTCTGTGTGGAGCAAGAGCACAAGGGACCCCCTTTGGACCTGGACAATTACCCAACCCCCTCAGGGTGGGGCCAGCTGCAGCCGTGCAGACAGCCTGGGGCAGCAGCCGCTCACGAGGGGCTTGCTACGGCCTTCCAGCCCCGCCCGGCGTACCTGTAACACCTGGCCGTGCACGATGGTGCCGATGGCGCCTGAGCAGAGTCTGGGAGTCAACCCTTTGAAGAGTCCAGCTCTTCCGTCTATCTTCATAATGTGCTTAGCTGTGAAACACCACAAGTATGAGGGGCGCCGACCCCACTGCCCCAGCCAATTTTAAAGGACATTTCCTTGCTGTGTGATTACAGGAACAGTTGTTCCTCCTTCATGTGTAACTGCCAGGCCCTGGCCCTCCCCGTGAGCCCTCAGAGAGGCAGGCTTCCAGCACGGGGGCTACAGGGGTCATGGGGACATCCTCTGTGGGCCAGCCACAAAGGGGACTTGACACATGCTTTGCCAGCAGCAGAACGTGGTGCGGAGGCGGGTAGCGTATGACTTTGCGATAGGCTAACCAAGGCACATATGTTTGGGACATTCATTCTGATAGGCAGTGGGTCGGCAATGTTAGAGACCAGGACTCTAGTCCCAGCCCTTCATGAAATGCCTTTGTTAGAGAGAGGGCTAATGCTTGTCTGCTTGCTAGGGATAGGGTACGAGATCATGGTCAGTGAGATAAGGGCTGTGAAGTGCATGGAAATACAGACAGCTGTGAGTAGAAGTGAGATTTGAACTCCTGTCCCCTGGTTCCCAGCTCAGTGCACTCTCTGCAGGGCAACAGGGTATCTGGAGGTGAAATCAGACTCCTTCCCTCAGAACACACCAGCCTTGGTGGCCAGCCCAAGGGTGGGATCCCCCCAGGAAATCCAGAACAACAGAGAGGTCTGCCTCACTCCCCAGGCACAGAGGGCTCCCCCATCTTTACACCAGTAACTACAACCCCCACCCTTTGGGGCTTCCTTTCCTGCCCTATCCCCAAATCCACATGCATGCCAGAGACAGGGACTCACCATATGCAAAGAGTCCCGGTAGCTGGTAAACCTGTCGCCCAAATATATTTCTGCCCAGGGTCGGAGGAAGCGGCTCATATCCCACCTTCAAAACAAACAGACAGTCTGCAGCAATCTGCCCATGGACCGTATCAAAGCCTGGTGATTTTCTGGTGCCTCCTTCCGGCCCGGGACTGTCAATGCCCTGCAGCTAATTGAAGGGTTCAGAAGCCAAAGACGCTATATTTAGTGGTGGACCCAAATGCCTCCACAGTCTGCCAGTGGGAGGGATTCAGCTCGGCCTCGGGGTTAACCCCTTGGCAGCGAGACACTGGGAGACCGCGAGCCTCGGTGGCTGCCCTTTAGAATTGCACAGGAGAGTCACAAATACATTCAATTATTTTCCCCCAAAGAAAATTAAGGACCAAGCTGGAATTAAATCATCTCCCATCTCTGGGCAATACCCTTCCCCAACACCCCCACTCCCTGGCCCGCTTCCTCCAGCGCACAGCATACCATCCTCGTTCATGCCACCTACTCTGGGAAGATGGAAAGTCCCTCTGGCCAGGGACCCGGTATCTGTGAAGGGCCCTGCACACTTCTGGTGCTCTAACTTATCATCCTTGGTATCCAGACACTGGATTAGATACAACGCTGTTGAGGGCGGGGCACCTGCTAGACACAGAACGAGTTGGTGCACGACCCTGACAAGCGTGGGTCATGCCCAGCAATCTGGCTTGCAGGCAGCTCTGCTGACCTCCCAGCTGCTCCTTGGGTTACAAATGGGTTTCGCTTTACAACGATTTCAAGGGGTTTCTCCACTGGCACTCGCATGCCCTGCAGACCTAGAGTACGATACTTTCATCAGGCCACTGTCTGGGAATACAGGGGACCGCCCTGGGGGCTCAAGGGTTAAATGCTCTCCTGCAGCTGGAATGTCGCCTCTTTCCAGCCAATGGTGGCCCAAGACGGCTCCTACCCTGGGCTGAGACCTGACAGCCAGCCAGTGTCACCAGGTAAAGCAGAAGGGAGTTGGGCAGCTCTACGGAGCACAGGACCAGAGGAGAGAGCGGCAGAAAGTGACCCAGCCACTCTGGGCACCTGACCGTTCAGGCTCCCCCAAGGCAGATGCCCACGGACCCAATGAAATTCGCTATGTGGCTAGTGCTGGTGACCTTGTTGTCACAGTCTGCCCATGAGGCTCAAAGCAGCAGGCGAGGGAGACGCAGCCTTCTGGAGCTGGGTCTCACTCTGTGGTGTTACCGGCAGAGACTGCGGACCCCGCTGTTTGCTCTCAACCTGTATGGGTGCTACTGTGGAACCGGGGGCTCCGGGACACCCCGAGACGCAGTGGACCAGTGTTGTTTCCTCCATGACTGCTGCTACCGCCACGCCAGGGTCTCCTTAGAGTGCCGGGGGAGAGTGAAGTGGCAGCCCTATGAGTTTGCATGTAGCCCATCGGGGACGGAGTGCCGCTCTCAGAGCGTCTGCGGCAGGATGGCCTGCGAGTGCGACAGACAGTTTGCTGAGTGTCTGACGGCAGCAAAGCCCAGAAAGAGGCATTTCTTCTACAATAGGAGAGAGCTATGTACCGGTCCCAAGGGCTCCTGCCCGGCCACCTTCCCCAGCAAGGCCGAAATCCTGCACTGGAGAAAGACGCCTTCCCCGCCCCCTCCTGGCAGTGGCTCCCCAAGCAAGGACTCTGCCTTGGGAGCCAGGGACAGAAACCCCTCCCTGTGACTGAGTGGATTCTGCTTCATGGGGCTGTGCGGAGCTCTCCTGGTCCCTGGGTTTCTGTGGTTTCAACCTCTCTAGGAGTAAATGGTCTCAGCAACTGCTGGGTGCTCTCACTGTGGCCTGAGCAAACCGGGGATCGTGGGGGCGGGGGGCAGGAGAGAGTCGTGGTAGCTTCAAAGGGGGGGGGCAGTTATGGACTCTGCCTGGGTACTCTGGGATCAGTGGCTCTGGCATTCTCCAGGCTCCGTATGGGAGGCAGCTGCGGGGAGCTGAATCCTGGGTCTGGATAATTTCTGTCGCAGCCCGCGCCCCCCGGCCGTGCTAGGCGCTGCACAGACATGCCGGCTGGCAGGGAGAGCAGAGAACGGGGCTCCTCCCTGGGCTGTGAGTGGGCACCGGGGCCTGCACAGCCGGCAGGGAGCTGCCGCACGGATCGGCCCGGGGCTGCTCGGCAGGGCAGCGTCCCTCCCGGCCCCGACTGGCTGATCGGGCTTTGAACCCCCGGGGCTGGGCGGAGGCTTCGCGGCGCCGCTGGTGGCCGGCCACGGACCGCGCAGCCCCGGGGGCTGGGGCGCCGGCCCGGGGAGCGGCGGAGCAGAGGCTGGGGCGGGCCAAGCGCCCCTCGGAGTCACCGCCCGGCGCAGACCGGGGGGAACCGGCCCAGCCGCGCCCTGCCCCGGGCAGCTCGGCGCGCGGGGGGAGGGCCGGGGGGGGCAGCTCGGCGCGCGGGGGGAGGGCCGGGGGGGGGAGTCGCTGCGCGCGGGGGAGGGCCGGGGGGGGCAGCTCGGCGCGCGGCGGCGGGGGGGGCAGCCCGGGGGGCGGGGTCCCGGCCCGCTCTCACCTGCACCAGCACCTTGACGTACATGAGCGGCTGGGAGAGCGCGGTGAGGCCGGAGCCCAGCAGCACCTGCGAGGCCGTGTCCGCCATGCCGAGCCGAGCCGAGCCGGGTACGTCACCGCGCCGTTCCCACGTGACCGGCACCGAAAAGGGCAAAAGGGTGGACGGCCACTTCCGGGTACCGTTTCTTCCACTTCCGGTCCCCCGCCCCATCGGCCATCGTCATTTCCCGCTTTCTTAAATGGTCCAATCGGGGCTTTCGGAGGCGGGGCGGACACCTCGGAATGACGGGGGGCGGGGCTCCCAGGGCGGTCGACCGGGACGGCCGGGGGAAGAGGGGCCTGGTGGCTCCGGTCTGCCCCGCAGCGGGGCTAAGGCGGGCTCCCTGCACGCCCTGGCTCCGCGCGGCTCCCGGGAGCAGCGGCACGTCCCCGCTCCGGCTCCCAGGTGTAGGGGCAGCCAGGGGGCTCCGCGCGCTGCCCCCGCCCAAGCGCCGGCTCTGCAACTCCCATTGGTCAGGAACCGCGGCCAATGGGAGCTGCGGGGGCGGTGCCTGCAGGCGGGGCAGCGCACAGAGCCCCCTGGCCCTACCTCCACATTATAGAGCCGGAGGCTAAGCGCTGCCCAGAGACTACCCCCCCAACCCACTGCCGCGCCCTAACCCCTGCCCCAACCCTGATCCCTCTCTCGTCCTCTGAACCCCTGGCCCCAGCCTGGAGCACCCTCCTGCACCCCAAATTCCTCATCCCCAGCCCCACACCAGAGCCAGCACCCCAAGCTGGAGCCTTCCCCTGCCCCCCGCACTCCAATCCCCAGCCCGGAGCCCTCTCCTGCACCCCAAACCCCCCATTCCCGGCCCCACCCTGGAGCCAGCACCCCCAGTGAGAGCCTTCATCCCCTCAGAGAAGGGGCAGGGCAGGGGGCGGGGCAAGGGTGCTCGTTTTGTGCAAGTACAAAGTTGGCAATCCTACTCGCTGTGTTAGAACAATGGACAGGCGCCACCCAGTGACTCCAGGAGTCCTGTCTCCCAGCCCCCTGCTCTAGCCACTAGTCCCCACTCCCCTCCCAGAGCTAGGGATAGAGCCAAAACTTCCTGATCCCCAACTTTCTACTGTCCTCTAGGCAACACTTATATAAACAAAGCCTGTGTCACATCCCTCTCTAGTGGCCTGGCCACATAACCACTAACAGTGTCTCCTTCAGCGGGGCGGAGGGTCCCTGCAGGGGCATTAGAAGGTCCCTGTTTCCTTCTTGACTGGTGACCCATTGGGAGCATGGGATGGAATTTCTCTTGCTCCAATTTTCTTTTGAATCTAGCTGATTTAATTCACACACTGAGAAAAGATCCTTGTAACCAGGCATTTTCGTGCAAAGCCGTCCTCATCATTCAGCTACGGCATAAGGGGCAGCAAACCCAGGTGTTCCCCATCATGCCTGCTCCTCCCACAGTACCACGGTTCATGTAACATGTGGGCAGGTTTGTAGGCTGAGAGAGAAGGCTGCAGAGTCAAACCCTCCGGAATCAGCAATTGTCACAGTTCTAGTTTCCTGAACAACCTTAACTCTGCGCACTTGGCCAAGTGCATTACAACACCATCTTTTAATTGCATGATCACGCACTAATTTTACCTACATGAGTCACCAGCCGGGTTTGAACTCAGAATGTAAGTGAAGAAGGGAGGGGGACTCTGCATGGAAATTGCAGTCAGTTGAAGATTGAAGACCAGACCCCGTGGTGGCTCCCACCCCAGTGCACCTTCCCGAATGCTGCAGGATATATTGACAGTGACCTGTCCCCTCCCCACAAAGACATGGACAAGTTGGGAGTTGCATGTGTGATGGGGTGGGTTTTTCCCCTTGTTATGTTGTACGTGAGCCTCTCTAAATCACCAATGTCTAAGTGGTGGGAATAAGGGTGTGAGACTTTTGCTGAGACCCTCGGGGCGGGTGAAGCTGCTCCAGCTGCCTGCAGGAAAGCGATGGCAAATGCCCTTCCTAACCTGAGAACTAGGGTGACCAGATGTCCCAATTTTATAGGGACAGTCCCAATTTTGGGGTCTTTTTCTTACATAGGCTCCTATTACCCTCCGGCCCCGTCCCAATTTTTCACACTTGTTGTCTGGTCATCCTACTGAGAACCAGGAGGGAGATGCAACCAGTTGTCACAGAGTCACAGCCCCGATGCTCTGGAACTGCCCTCTATGAAGTCAGTCAGGACTAGCGTGACTCCCATCAGGGCACGCAGTCCAGGGCAAGAAACCTCCTCGGCTACAGCCTTCCTGGGTCTGACCTCGGAGCATTCAGCCTCCTGGTCCATGCACTTCCTGCAGCGGGTCCAGCTGGACTGGACCCCTGGGCTGGACCACCACTTCGCACTCTGAGCCAGCCGGTAAAACAGAAGGCTTATTAGTTGACAGGAACACAGTGTGGAACAGAACTTGTTAGCATAGAAATCAGTGACTTTCAGCCAAGTCCATCTTGGGGCAGTCCTGGGCCTGGGGCCGCCAAGTCTCAAAACATAACAAAGCTGCTCCGCTTTTCACAGCAAGCCCGGAATGCGCCAATCCCATTTCAGGGGCACCGCCCCCCGCCAACAGCCAAGCCCGGAATGTGCCAATCCCATTTCAGAGGCACCGCCCCCCGCCAACAGCCGAGCCCGGAACTCGCCAATCCCATTTCAGAGGCACCGCCCCCTGCCAACAGCCGAGCCCGGAACGCGCCAATCCCATTTCAGAGGCACCGCCCCCTGCCAACAGCCGAGCCCGGAACGCGCCAATCCCATTTCAGAGGCACCGCCCCCTGCCAACAGCCGAGCCCGGAACGCGCCAATCCCATTTCAGAGGCACCGCCCCCCGCCAACAGCCGAGCCCGGAACGCGCCAATCCCATTTCACAGGCACCGCCCCCTGCCAACAGCCGAGCCCGGAACGCGCCAATCCCATTTCACAGGCACCGCCCGCCGCCAACAGCCGAGCCCGGAACGTGCCAATCCCATTTCACAGGCACCGCCCCCCGACAACAGCCGAGCCCGGAACGCGCCAATCCCATTTCAGAGTCATCGCCCCTCCGCCAACAGCCGAGCCCGGAATGCGCCAATCCCATTTCACAGGCACCGCCCCCCGACAACAGCCGAGCCCGGAACACGCCAATCCCATTTCACAGGCACCGCCCGCCGCCAACAGCCGAGCCCGGAGCACGCCAATCCCATTTCACAGGCACCGCCCCCTGCCAACAGCCGAGCCCGGAACGCACCAATCCCATTTCACAGGCACCGCCCGCCGCCAACAGCCGAGCCCGGAACACGCCAATCCCATTTCACAGGCACCGCCCCCTGCCAAGAGCCGAGCCCGGAACGCGCCAATCCCATTTCACAGGCACCGCCCCCTGCCAACAGCCGAGCCCGGAACGCGCCAATCCCATTTCAGAGCCACCGCCCCCTGCCAACAGCCGAGCCCGGAACGCGCCAATCCCATTTCACAGGCACCGCCCCCTGCCAACAGCCGAGCCCGGAACGCGCCAATCCCATTTCACAGGCACCGCCCGCCGCCAACAGTCGAGCCCGGAACGTGCCAATCCCATTTCACAGGCACCGCCCCCCGACAACAGCCGAGCCCGGAACGCGCCAATCCCATTTCAGAGTCATCGCCCCTCCGCCAACAGCCGAGCCCGGAATGCGCCAATCCCATTTCACAGGCACCGCCCCCCAACAACAGCCGAGCCCGGAACACGCCAATCCCATTTCACAGGCACCGCCCCCTGCCAACAGCCGAGCCCGGAACGCGCCAATCCCATTTCAGAGCCACCGCCCCCTGCCAACAGCCGAGCCCGGAGCACGCCAATCCCATTTCAGAGGGGGTTTTGTATAAAAATTCCATTATTTAGTAGTAACCTAAGTACACCTCTACCCCGACATAACGCAACCCGATATAACGCGGGTTTGCATACAACGCGGTAAAGCTCCGACACGTTGCTCTAAGCAGCCTGTTAAGGGGGCCAGGCTGTGGCATTGGAGAAGGGTCAGAGGGTCTCGGGGGCGGTCAGAGGCACCTCCCCCCCAGGGTCTGTGAGGCAGGAGCTGGGGGGGCACTCTTGGGGACCTTGCAGTTCCAGAGTGGCTGGGGGATTAGCAGGGGGCCGGGAGCAGCCAGCTCTGTTTCCCTCGCCCCAGCCCCAGCTGTGTTGCTCACGGCTGGGGCAAGGAAAGTGGAGTGGGCTGGGGCCACGTCACTCTGCTTCCCGCCACAGGTGAGTGCGGGGGGCGTCCTTTCCCCAACCTCCCTGCACTCACCGGCGGCGAGAAGCGGAGCGCCGCGGCTGGGAGGTGGCAGAGTGGAGCGGGCTGGGGCCACATTGCTCCACTTCCCGCCGCTGCCGGTGAGGGCCTGTCAGGGGGCGGGAGGTGTGGATAGGGGTCGGAGCAGTCAGGGGACAGGGAGGGGGGGGGGGTTGGGTAGGGGGTGGGGTCCTGGGGGTGATTAGGGATGGGGGTCTCTGGAGGGGGTGGTCAGGGAACAAGGAACGGAGGGGCCAAACAAGTTCGATATAACAGAGCCTCACCTATACGCGGTGAGATTTTTTGTCTCCCGAGGACTGCGTTATATCGGGGTAGAGGTGTCCACACAAAAAGGTACGTTGTAACCGATCTGCCAGATACGGTCTCTGGTTCAATATTTAGGGTTTTCTTCAACAAAACAACAGACAACTGGCTCAAGTCCTGCCCCCGCTCCCTGCCCCAGTAACCTGTTTTCTGCAATTCTTCTGTTACATGGAACATTGATATTTTCCCCCTCCCATCTCTTTTAGTTTATTTTTTTTCCCAGTTCCTGTATAGATTTTCAGTGGAGTTGAAGTATTTAAGAGAGACAAAGAGAAACCCAACTCTGTTAAGAGTCTGGCGTATGTTACAGATTACTGTGGCTTTTTCACAACCCCTCCCCCCCACACACACACTCCCCTCTCCTCCCCTATAATGTAACTGTATCCCTGTGATTTCAGGCTGCTTGTGTTTGCTGCCTGGACTGGGATCCCGTGTTCATCATGGTTTGCAGATGACATGCTTGGTTTTTAGCCAGGGCGGGGAACATTCTCCGTGTCCTGCATGTTCAGGACCAAACAATGGGTGCTCGCCAGGTGAGTGGAGGAGCCATGCGTCCAGCTGGGAAGA